CGCAGAGAAGTGGGAAACCTTTATAGTTGGGGGAGAGGGGGGAGAAAGAGAAGGCTTCAGGATGCTCTGATTGAAGGATGTTAGCATGAGGACACTGTAGGCACGAGGAAGCTGTAGGCGGATTAACTAGAAGTGGGATATCCTCTGTGATTTGTTATGAGTATATATTTGGTTCTTTCTAGTTGGTGCTAAGTTGGAAGTGGGGACAAAGATTAGGGAAGCTGTCAGTTACTAATCAAGTCCTGGCCTTTTGGGGCCAGTTGTATCAAGGGTTATGGTTTAGCTTCTTGGGCCGGTTGCTAGAGAAGGTGTTCTGACTTCCTATAAGTCTGTCTTGTCTCTTCCCACTGCTCAGAAGCCTCTACCTTATGGCTGCTTCCTCATTCACACGGCTCTGCCTGTCCTCCCCCTCGGCCAGTGTTCCTCCAGGGATCAGAAACAGTCCAGCTGCTGCTCACGCTGGGGTTTTTCAGTCCCACTAGTTCACGAATGTCTTCAAATACCATTAGGTGAAAAATAAAATTGGCATAAATCTGGGCAGGTAACCTCTTAGCCAGAAAGTGTGGATTTGGTCCTAAATTGCCTTATTTGTCAGGGCACCCACTCTTCACTCTGGGTTGCACAGAGCTGGTTTTATAGTGTGGGCCGCTTCATGAACACTTAAGATGTGTCAGGAATTGCAGTGAGACTAAGGAAACGAAGATGAATGAGACCCTGGTCCCTGGTAGAGAGACGTAGAAGGTAGGTGACAACGTAAGGCCTTATGTTCTGAGTGTGGGATTAACTGCTCCTCTTTATTGGCACCAATGACCATGGGTCTCAGCCACTCCTAGCACCTGTCACAGTGCAATAAAGTTGAAGGCACATTTCCGTGTACCTCAATGGACTGTGATCCCTCAAGGACAGGAACTCACACACCTGCTGTGTTGCCAACATCTCAGCTGGTAGCTGGTTCATTGTAGGAAGGTTAACAGGATGAGCTATTTGTACAGAACCAGACTCAAGTTCTAGTTCTTCTGCATATTAACCGTGAGAACAGGGGCAAGTTACTTAACCTTTTTTAGGCCCTGTGTTTTTATCCATAAAATGGGGATAAGAATAATTATAGCAATCTACTCTACTTCATAGATCATATTCACTTGATTGGCACATATTAGACATTCAATAAATATCTTCTGCACAATTATGAATTCAATGGCCTTGAAATGGCAGTAATACATTTACACAATGGAATACTACTCAGCTGTAAAAAAGAAGGAAATCTTACTCTTAGTGACAGCCTGGATGAACCTGGAGAGCTTTATGCTAAGTGAAATAAGCCAGCCAGAGAAAGACAAGCATCATATGATGTCACTTACATGTGGAATCTAAACAAAATAAACTAACAAACAACATAGAAACAGACTTATAGATAGAGAGCAGGTTGACAGCTGTTGGAGGGGAGGGAGGGTTGTGGGGCTGGGCAATAAGCAACCCCCCCCAAAAAAACCCCCAAAACCAACAAAACAAAACTCATAGACACAGACAACAGGTAATTGTGATTACCAGAGGGAAAGAGGGATGGAGGGAGGTAGAAGATGGTAAAAAAGAAAAAAAAAGAAAGAAAATTTATTGACATAGATGATACATACTCCAGAGTGGAGAAGAGGCAGGACTTACTGAAGCCCGTCCTGCAAGTTGGGTGCTTTTCTGGGGCGGAAGCCAAGAGAATCCATACCAATGTGATGGAGTTAGAGCGATATCATCGTGTGGTTCTTCTGAACAGCACACAGTAAAATAAAACATCTCGTTAATCATAGGGCACGAAGACCTTGAATTCATGACTTAAAACAAGGAACTGAGACCTTTGGGAATTTCTGTTCCACATTGCAAATATTGGCAATCACCTTTCCACAGACGCTTGGTGAAGTCCTGATTTAATTACTGGTGCTACAGAAAAAGGAGAGTTGAATAGGGGTTGTTTATAGATTCTAAGGAGGAGAAGAATTTTGTTAAATACATTTCATAGGGGAGAAAACTAAGAGGGGCTCTAAGCTCGAATGTTCCAGTTTCATGTATCTGCTGTGAATCTTCGTTTCCCCGAGTGATGATAATACCTTGTTGTGGGAACCAAACAAGATGACAAATGTGAAAGTGCCCACACAATGCCCAATATTTTTTGAATACTGGAAATAGTCAAATTTTTATTTTCCTTTTTTTATACTTCTAGTGATAGAAAACGTCACATTTGGAAATGTACAGTATGCTAGAACAGTTATTCAATGATGGGAAATGAATGTATAAAATAACATTGTTTTACTTAGGAATGGTGTGGCTGAGTTTGGTGATTATCCCCCAAATCCATTCCCTCTTTCTCCTGCTGTAATAGAATCCCTGTTGTTAGATGGGCTCATCGCTGCTCGGAATAATGACTGTATTTTCTAGCCTCTTTTAGAGGAGGCGTGGCCATGGATGACGGCTGAAATGGGAAGTGGGGTGTGCAATCCGTCAGAGGTTTTTTTTGAGAGAGATTATATGCTCCCTTCCTTCTCTTCCCTCCTCTGCTGCCTGGAATGTGCGATGGCTGGACCTTCATAGGGCGTTCGTCTAGACTCTGAGACGCGGGCCTCGTTTGAGGATGGAGGCGCCTGGGTCCTTTATGACTGTGGAGCTACCGCATCAGCTCTGGACTGCCCATGCTTATGCGAGCGAGAACGCACTTTGATCTTTGTTTGGGCTTTTGGTCACTTGCAGCAAAATCCAGTCCTAATAATTATGTCATCATTGAGAGACATGACTTTCAGGACCTGAACATTTTAGGAGATAAAGTAAAGGCCCCAAAAGAGTGTGAGTTCCTCACAAGAACTTATTATTTATTTATTTATTTATTTATTTATTTATTTATTTACTTACTTACTTATTTATTTTTATCCTCACCTGAGGACATTTTTTTGCATTTATCTTCAGAAAGAACGGGAGGGAGGAAGGGAGGAAGAGAGAGAAACATCGATATGAGAGAGACACATCGACTGGTTGCCACCCACATGACCCCAACCGGGGCTGGGGACAAACTGCAACTGAGGTACGTGCCCTTAGCGGGAACCGAATCTGGGTCTCTCTGGTCCTCAGCTTGATGCTCTGACCTCTGAGCCAAACCAGCCAGGGCAGCACAAGAACTTATTTAAAAAATACCATCCAATCAGAATAAGAAAGAAAAACAACCAAGCTTATTGGTTTCCAGTATAAAGTCTGGCTGAGTCAAAGCTTTGATTTCACATTGCTCACCAGTGAAAAGACGTGGACAGTGTCAGCATGCTAAACTCCCGAGTCGCTCTGTACCGTGACGTGGAGAGTGTCAGCATGCTAAACTCCCGAGTCGCTCTGTACCGTGATGTGGAGAGTGTCAGCATGCTAAACTCCCGAGTCGCTCTGTACCGTGATGTGGAGAGTGTCAGCATGCTAAACTCCCGAGTCGCTCTGTACCGTGATGTGGAGAGTGTCAGCATGCTAAACTCCCGAGTCGCTCTGTACCGTGATGTGGACAGTGTCAGCATGCTAAACTCCCGAGTCGCTCTGTACCGTGACAGTCTAGAATTGCTAAGAATCCTGATCAGAGTCTTGCTACCATAAAGGACTTCTCTTTAGACTGGGTATTGGGATGATGTGTAGCAGTGCAGTAACTCTTACCTATATATATTTGGTGTTTGTACTAAAACACACATTTAAAAAGTTAGTGTTCTACCCACAGCATAATCATATCACTTTGCATGTGCATCTTCTTACTGATGGTTTTGTGTTTAATGATTTGATAAGATTCAAAAGAAACTGGTGTAAAATTTTTTCCTCTCCAGTCTCTTGAATGATAATTTTCTAATGTTTATCTGATGTCCACAGTGCAATTGCTGGCTCACCTCTTAGGGAATGAGCCCACCTTAACTCTATTACCAGATGCCAAGAGGTGTTAGTTAACCTGGAGGCTAAGGTCAATGGGAATTATTTTGTTACATGAGTCTTCCCTTTCTGTGTGGATCTTGGCTAATTTGTAGCCTATGCATCTCTTTAAAATTAATTAATTAATTTTTAAAAATTGAGGTGTAATTGACATATGACATATTAGTGTCAGGTGTACAACGTAATGATTTGATGTTTGTATATATTGTGAATGGTCACCACAATAAGTCTAGTTAAGACCTGTCACCATATATAGTTACAATTTTTTTCCTGTGATGAAAACTTTTAAGATCTACTCTCTTAGTAACTTTCAAATATGCAATACAGTATTATTATTAATGATGGCCACCATGCTGTTCATTATACCCCCATGATTTATTTATTTATTTTGTAACTGGAAGTTTCCACTTTTTGATTCTTTTCACTCATTTTGTTCATTCCCCACTCCAAAATCCTCTGGCAACCTCAATCTGCTCTTTATATCTATGCCTTCATTGTTCTTTCTTTCTCTTTTTTAGATTCCACTTAGGAAATCATATGGTGTTTGTCTCTCTTTGTCTGACTTATTTCACTTAGCATAATGCCTTCAAGGCCCATCCATGTTATTGTAAATAGCAAGATTTACTTCTTTTTGTTTTTTATGGCTGAATAACATTCCTCTTTTTCCTTATCTATTCATGCACTGATTGACCCTAAGGTTGTTTCCATAAGCACCTCTTAATAAGGAGATCCCTTGGAAGTTATTCAAGCAGCTGATAGAGTTAGGTCTACAATCCCCTTCTCCTGTAAAGTCTTCTTCAGTCCACCAGCTGCAAGTAGTTCTGAATGGCTTTTAATAGCTATAGTTGGTACTGCTCAACTTGCCCTTAAATTTACTTTAGTTTTCTCTTCACGACATGGGAGAGGGCTCCAGGGTGGTTAAAAGGATGCCTCATGGTTTCAGGTAAAAGCCAGGGGCCTACAGAGGGGCCCCTGAAAGGCCTCTGGGCTCCGAGTCATGTTTGAGGGTGAGCCTTTCGAAGAGACACTGGCCCAGCCCAGCCGGGGGCCCACCAGCCTGGGAAGGTTAGTCAGGTGTCACCCATCTTCTTGATGAGGTTCACCTCCTCACCCAGGAAGTGGTTCCCCAGGAAGTCAGAGAGATGAGGGTCTGTGCAGGTAGAACCCAGGGCCTGCAGATCCAAAAGGGCCTGGTTCGGATTCTTCTCCAGGACCACGGTGACTTCCATGGCATCCTGAGTTTTGCCCCACTCATCCTGGGAAGGCTTCAGCGTGTCCTGGGAGGGAATACGGCCACCACGCTGGTTTTGCATCTTCAAGAGCTGTTCAGAGACCCTGCACTTCTCCTTGGCCAACCCCAGGAAGAAGTGGCCCACGCCCTCCAGAGCTGCATTGTTGAGGTTGAAATAGAAGCCGGGAGAGAGGTAGGTGTAGGAGCCCCGCAGACGCAGGTTGGCCAGGGGGTTGATGGCAGCCTCCACCTCAGTGGAATAATTCTGATGAATTTGGGAGCTCATGGCTGTTCGGCAATAAGAAGTTAAGCTAAAAAAAAATGGTGTTTGTTCGCTGGTCTCGGCGGCTGAGGTTGCCTGAGATGGTGGAGATGGTTCTGAAGGTGATGACTGAAAAGTTGGAGGTTGTCAGAGGCTGGAAGAAGGTGCATCCCTGGGTCTGTCCTGTCCAAACACTGCTGAAGCAAGAGACAGATCTGGGGGACTGCGGAGGCACTGCCCAAACTTAGTACTCTCATTACCATCCACAGCACCAAGATGTGTACCATGCTTTGTGTGTATGCATTTTTAATTTATATAACTGGTACTGTGTAAATGGTGCCGCTATAAATCTCATTTTGTTTCTTATTTCTTTCACTCAGCACTTTGCCTTTAAGAAGAACCCATGTTGCTTTGTCCACTTTTGATCCATCCTACCATTGGCTGCACCCAAGGTGAACATCTTTCACTTAACTGCCTCTCTACTCTCCCAGTGATGATACTCCAATTTCCTGCCTCTACACAAAATCTGAAATGCACATCCTCCCTCAGGACATGGGGGGCAGTTTTCCTGTATGTAGTAAGTTTGTGCCTCCTAGGAAACAGGAAGCTGGTAGATTTAGAGTCTTTTATAAAAGTGTTGCCTCTGGCATTGCAGTCATGTCTCAGGCACTGTCCCAGATGTAAGACCATGTCAGGGTGGAGCACAGATAGTCATGTCTGTGTGATCAGAATCCCTTTCTTCACTAAATGTTTATCCATGCCACTCACATGCCAGTCAGTGCTGGAGGGTGACACAAGGATTCCAAGACCTCGTTGGTCCCAACAGAGTGAAGAGTAAGGCCGTGCACTTGGATTTGGAGTGATACAGGTGCAGAGACTACCCTCTTAATCATACCTGTGCAAGCTCGTGTGCAAATTTCTTAAACCCTCCAAGGGCAGTTTTCTCAGGTTTAAACTGGGATCATAGTAGGTTATTATAGGAATTAAGTTCTTCATGTTTAAAATAGGAATCATTGCTGTTTGTTGTGAGGATTAAATAAGATAATGTATGTGGAGGGACAAGTGTAGAGCATGGCATAAAATAAGTGCTCATAAAGATGGGATAATTCCTGCCCTTGAGAAGCTCCTGCCTAGAGGAGGAGACAGATGTGGACCCAGGTATTCACAATGTGCTCTACAAGGACGCTGACAGCAACATGCACAAAGTGTGATGGGAGCAGCAAGGAGCGGACACTGAAGACATTAATAGTTACCATTAATTTCATGCCTGCCTTGTTCTAGACACTGTCTATATTGAATTTATTTTGTCCTGGCCTCCTAAGGGGGATAATACTATTTCTGTTTAATAGAAGTAGAAACCAAGGCTCAATGACAGCATGCCATTCAAAGTCACTTAGCCAGTTATGGTGCAGAAAAGATCTGAATCCCTGTCTGCTCACCCTAAGGCCTGCATTTGTTTCAACGACACTGAAGAGGAGCAGGCATCTGACCTGGGTCCTGAAGGATGAGCGCTTTCTATGTGGGCAGGGTATGCAAATATTTATTTGGCACTTTGACTTTAGGGTCTTTCCAAAGACCCACATTATTTTATTTATTCATTGATAGCACACGTATTTTCCCAGAATTTACTCTGGCTGGATGCTAGAAATGCAAAGACTAAGAGATGAGATCTCTGATGGAGCTTATAATCCCATCAGACAAATCGGTTATACACACATACACCATCCCTAACCAGATGCTACAAGGTTGCATAAGTTACATTCCCAGAAAATGATGCAGGTATCCAGAGAGGCCAGAGAAGGGAGAGATTGTGGAGGACTCTGTGTCACAGGCAGCACTGAAGAGTCGGTGGGACTGCAATTGTGCATTGGGATAGACAGGGCATTGGGTTGGGCACTCAGACTAGGTCCAGCAGTGTCATGTGTAATGCCAGAGTTGCATTTGAAAGAGGGGCACCTAAACATAAATTCACGGCAAATCAGATTTTACCATTAAACTCCCTTAAATAGACAACAAAGTATAGGCTCCTGTATGGATTCTGTGGGGTGCAGGCTCAGCACAATCACTTTTCCCTGCAGCATTAGCACAAATTGCTCCTTCTTTGGACTACAGAACCTCTTCCAGCCCTCAAATTCCTATAGTTGTCTTGTTTGGCATGGTGTTGAACAAAAATAGCACTGCTTAAATCACTAGAGTCAAACTGGTGAGGAAAAATGCTTGTGATGTTGGGAATATGAGGCAACGGAAGGTCGTTGAAGCACAAGGAGGTGGTCCTTTGGCTCTGTGCTTAGTGCTTTGGTGTTTCCAAGCTCTATCTCAACTTGCTGAGGACAAGGCCAGGTGAGTTCAAGGGTGGAGGAGTGATCACACTTACGTTTCTGATGCCCAAGCTAATTGGCATTTAGGGCCAAGAAATGGTGACAGAAAAGAATAGGAACCAGCACAAAAGCGACATTGTGGAGAAAAAGGAGGGCATTGTGAGCCTGAGTGACACTAGGAACAGTCACCTCTACGTCAGAATCACCAACTCCAACATAAATACAGGATGCAGCTGGCATCTTGAAGTTGAAGGGGATCCCTGAGTAAAAAAACCATTGAGAAATAGATGTAGAACTTAGAAGCAGGCAACATCTTGGATTTCTTGCCAGCAGCAGCGGACTGGAGGACATGGCTTTGGACCATTGTAAAAAGGTCTCCTATCTAGACCTTGGGACAATGCATTGCAGGGAGAGTCTAAGCGACTGCTCTGGCTATGGCTGTGGGGCCCCTGATAGTGTAGACAGAGGAACCACAGAAGCTGGAACCCACCCGGGTCGTAAACGTGGACTCCTCCCACCATCCAATGAGATGTCTGAATACTTCTTGTTTGGAGAGGACTAATCAAGGGGTAAGACAGGTGGAGAAGTTTCACTTGATAGGAAGGGTGCACTAATGTGCAGATTTGTAAGAAGAAGGAAATGGATGTCCCTATCATTGCTGGACGTAATTAAAGATGAGAATAGAATCCGGAGTGGAATCTGTGGCCTAGGCTACCCCACAGGAATGATTTAATGAACTGGTTTTGTCTATTTAAAGGCAAAAACTAAAGTGTACACCAGCAATCTCAGGAAGAAGCACAAAGGATCAGTGACTGGTTTAGGAAAAGGCCATATGGGGGTGTCCTGGTTAACCACTGATCTGCTCCCCCATGGGAACTCCATCGTCTCTTCACACTCTTTGGTTGACTACCACCAGGATGCTTAAATCTGGTGGGTTAAGGGAGCAAAATCTTTGGAATCACAGGGGAAAGCATTTTCCTTCTCCTGTTTTTTTTTTTGCCTTGATCCATAAAGTAGAAACTTCCACCTTGTGAAAGAATGGAAAACTAGGGAAGAAAGACTTTGTCCTTTTTTCTGTCCCCTTCCCTGTCTGGGAAGAGGGTCATGGTGTGTGAAGAGAGCCCCTTGGGTTCTCTCTTCCCCAGCTTGTCCTCACCACCGTCCATTCTTTGCCCCTGGACCATAATCTCAACAAGGCGGCTCTGCCTTTTGGAGGTCAGGTGGGTGTTCTGGTTGGAAATTGGTTCTAGTTACAGGTGAGGGCAAGTTCTCCAAGGCAGCCTTGCTGTAAATAAAGCTGATCATTTCAACTCTCTTGATCTGGGGCTATCTCCTCAGTGGTTCACTGTCCATAAGGAAAGTGATTAATTATCATAATCCCTTAAATTCCAACATCCATGTCAAGATAAAAATCCCAATTTTGAGATTCTTTGGAATTTTCTTTTCTTCTTCTCTCTTTTTCAAAAACATTTACTGAACTGAGTGACCACCGTGAGCTTTGTCTATTCTTTTAAATAGCCCTGGCTGGGCCCTGGCTGGTGTGACTCAAATGTTTGAGCATCGTCCCATGCACTGAGAGGTAGCTGGTTCAATTCCCCATCAGGGCACATGCTTGGGTTGTGTCCTTGATCCCCAGTAGGGGGCATGCCTACTGGGGATCAAGGACACAACATATTAAAACATATTAAAAACACATTACACATATTAAAAACACATTAAAAATAGCTATGGTTGGCCTTGATACAATGCATAGGGCCAAATGGATACACATACTCACAAAATGTGGGTATAAATACTCACAAATATAATACATTTGTATATAATGAATGCTCTTGAATCCCAGGGTCTATAAAAGACCCTGCAGATCATATGTCTATATGGCTATATGTGTGCACACTCTTGTGTTTACATACCTACGCCATGCAAACACATACACACACCATGAACACACCCAAATCACAACATGAATGCACATCATACACACCCACACAGTACATACGATGATGACACACACAAACACATACCTCACATCTGCACCCCACATGCACATACACAGCTCACAAACACTCCCTATGAACACACACACCACATGTACACTACCTACTACATACAGACCACTCACACAAACCCCCTACTCCATTGTATATGCATGGACATACAGATATACCACTGCATGCACTTGTAACCCCAGGGCCTACGTGGAACTATAGAAAGCTTCCTGACACATGTTCATATTCTCTATCTATTATCTATCTATCTATCATCTATCTATCTATCTCTCTATCTCTCTATCTCTCTATCTCTCTATCTCTATCTCTATCTCTCTATATCATCTATATCTATATCTTCTTTTCTCTCTCAATCCTGGGGTCCATATATTTGAGACTATACAAAGCACATGCACAGACACAGAGCAAAACTCTGAACTCACCTAAAAATAACCACCAAGACCCTGGGAAGCTCAGCCTTTGTGCAGAAGCCACTACTCTTGTGGACCCCTCCCCTCCCCAGAAATGCACCCCAGCAAAGAAGCACCTGCACCCGAGCCCGACAGCTTGCTTTCTTTCCGCCTCTGATTAAGTCTCACAATAAAATGGCACACCAAGGGGCAAGCCATTACAGTGTCATTAGAGTGAACATTTCACAAGGAGCGTTGCCTGAACTGAGATGCTCCTGATGTTTTTATTTTTGCTGAATCTTTGAGAC